GGGGGGGGGGGGGCATGACCCAGCCCCCAAAAGGGGGAGGAGCATAGCTCAGCACTGCAAGGGGGAGGAGCGCGGCCCCACCCCAATGCAGATGCAGAGAGAGGGGGCATGGCCAGTCCTGTGGGGGAAAAGGGATATAGCTTAGCTCCAACCAGCCATGTGGGGCTTGTAAACACGGCAGGGGGGCGGGTAGCCATATTTATGGCCACTGTTCCCCTACTGCCAAATTACCAACCCAAGGGGAGCCCCACAGCTCAGACTACATTTGGCCAGCTGGTCAAAGCCTGAGCATTCCCTGCGCTAGAACTGCCATTTACTGGATCAGACTGCAGGCCCATCTTGCCCAGTCTTGTGGGTCACAGGGGCAGAGAGCAGATGCTGAAAGAGAGTGAGCTGGGTCTGACCAGAGATTTTTCCATTGTTCCTCTTTCATTTGCAGACTCCAGTATTTAAGATCCAAGAAGCTCCAAGTCAGAGACCATGCCTCTAATTCTCCTGCTCAACAGCTACTGTTGCCCCTTTCCTCCAAGAATGTATCCCATCCCTTTTTTAAGAGATCTGTCCAAGAATTTGTCCAATCCTTCTGTTACCGAAGTGCCCATTAAATGACTGTTCCTATCTACCTCTTTCTATCCCTGTTTCTGTCAAGGCCCTCCCTGTCAGGAAAAATGAATCAGAATTATGCCCTTGGCCATCTTTACCTGTTGCTGTTCAGGAAAGTTTTCCACAGCCTTGAGTAGTAAATGGATCACATCAGAGAGCAGACGAACAGGCATGCCAGTTGCGAGGCCCTGTCTTGTTAAGTTGAGACAGCATGCACTGGCAGTTAGCTGCACTGCCAAGTCCAAGGGGTGATTTCTCATTCCAATAATCACAAGCTGAAATATAAGAGAATGTATTGCATGAACAGTTTCATACTTATTATTTTGCAAGTTAGTTGCAATGCTGCTTTCTATGAGTTAAACTGACCTTGTCACTACTGAATCTTTGAAACAGTTTTTAAACAGAAAGCATCAAAAGACAATTTTACCTCTTACTGGCACAGTAGAATCAGTGCAACAACCAGAGATTTTACTTTGCAGCCCTCCTGTCTTGAAAAGGGTTTATAACATCTCCCATTCAGTTGCACAAAAAAGGTCATCCACACAAAGTGTTCCAATGATGTGATCAAGTGCTCAGAAATAAACCTAGCCTATTTCATGATGGCCATCTCTTCCAACACTTGCTCATTGGCCAACATCTGAGAACTTTTCATCCTTTAATGATTATTTCCTGTTTTAATTACTAATGTTTTCAGCCAATGGGAACAAATCAGAGCCTCCCACACTTCCCAGAATAGGCAGGACCACTGAATACATTCTTCTCAGAACCAGCTGCAAAGGCTGCAGCCAGTCCATCATGCTGTAGTCGGACTTGCAATTGGAAGATACCAAGAAAGTACATTTCCCTCTCTGTTCGACACACTGCACTTGTTCTCCATCTACATCTAAGTTACTTACTGAACCTGTTCAGCCTTCAAAAGAGAAGGCTGAGGGG